GTCTCCCCCTCCTGCCGCGTCCCCATCCCCACCCCAGGGACCTCCGCCCGGCTCTCCTCGCGGCTTCCCCTCCCAGGCACACGGGGTGGCCGCAGCCCCGGGGCCGGGTGAATGCAGCGAGCAAACAAAAAAGCGGGCCATTTAAACGTGCCTTCGAAACCCGTTAGGAATGCGTCGTGGCCCGGAGGTCGGTGAAAAGCCGCCTGGGCTTTCTAGTAACGGAGAGGCGGGCGCCTGCGCGGCGACCGGGGTCTGTCGTCCTCCGCTCACCCCAGCCAAGAGAGAATTCACAATTTCCTTTTGTAAAGTGATAAGCTGCAGTGGGACGACCTAAGACAGCTACGTTTTCAGGAAAGTGGCAGAGAATCTGAGGTTTCCATTAACCGGAGTGCTTGGGGGCTTCTTTCCCAAAGGTTTTTGTGAGGTGATCTATTTTTCCTTTTTAGAAAACCCCGCTGTGAAAGGCTAGCTCTCTAGTTCCTTGTAGCTCAAGGCTAATAAATGAACTAGTTTTAAGGTTCAGAGAAAATTATTTCCCTGAAAGCTGATTTAGGTAGTGGTCACCAGTGGTTAGAGATTACAATAGTAAGTTGTATTTTCATCAAATTACCACTGATCGATATTTAAGCGCTTCTAAGTGGAGAAAGGAAGCCTGCAACTTAACCATAGCTAACACTTTTGGTGGGATAATTTGTTGCAGAGGGAGCAGCACGGGTTGGAGAGAAGCATGGGATATTCTTGTAGATGACACTTTCTAGCAAATAACTGCAACCCAGAATTGTTTTGTCCCAAATATTTCAGTCTCATGCAATGCCACGTTTAAATAAGATGACTTTCTGATTGTTTGGCCTTTTGCTTTCTTCCTTAAACTTGTGTGTTTTTCATACACAAATGTATTTTGTATGTGATGCCAGCACTCTATTTCCACATCTAGAACACTGACAGCTTTCAGGTATTTGGTAGGCTTCTCCATGTCTCTCTTCACCTTTACACTAGTCAGAGATAAAGGGTGTTGCCTGACATGCAGTAGAACTTGACCTTGTTTCCATCTTAACATCACATAGATCATGCACTGCTTTCTAGTAAGTAAAGTTGCCACAGACACGTTTAACTTTGAGTAAGTTAGAGAGAAGGATCCTCCCTCCCCTCACTGTATTAGTTCCTCCTCTGTCGCAGGCTTTCAGCCTACAGAAGGGTGTTTTAGCTTTTATATTAGTTGCCAGGGTTGAAAGAGTAGCTATAAAGGGAAAATGGTGAAAAATTATTAGTGTGCCTGAGAGAGAACAGAGTAAAAAAAAACTCTTTGGAGTTTAAGGAAATGTTATATTTTAAAAACGACTGTTGCTTAGCCCAGAGGCTTGGGGAGAAGGATTAACTGAAAAAAACTTGGAGGCCTTGGTGAGAATAAAAGCAGATCTCTGTGTGTCTCACCTATAGTAGGCACTTCATAAATACTCAGGTTTGACTTGAATGAGCCCTTGGTGGCTTGAAGTATTATTACAGAAGTGGTGTTACATGTACATTGTGGAAACTTAGAAAACACAGAGAAGCAAATATAATCACATATTCCTACCACCCAGAGCTCACCATTGTACTGCTTTCCAGATAATTGTCTATGCATATGTGTGCATGTTTTAATCGAAATGAAAGTGTACTGTATATGCAGGTCTGTAAGGAGTTTTATTTTGTTTTTCCTGTCAGCTAGCTTGGTAAGTTTTCATCTCATCTGTCACTGGGACATAGGTTTACTCAGTTGGCCCCCAAATACGACAGCAGCTTTGTCTGTAACATGTCTGGTCGAGGCTCATTTATTGCATCTGGTTATCCTCCATACATAGACTTTAACCTACAGAAACTCTTTGATAGAACCTCTGACATTGAGGAGGCAAGCCTTTGGGATTGATCGTGATGGGATTTTTTTAAAGAGTTGGAAATCAAAATAGCATTTTATTGTCACTTGGAAGTCTTAGGTTTGGAGACTTTGTTTGAAAAATACTGCTCTAAAGAAATTTGCCTGAAGCATTTGTCCACAGACTTGTTGGAAAAAGAAGGATCAGTTTCGGTACTGAGCTAGTTGGAACAGCAAACATCCTCATCAAACACTGATTACAATTACATCCTGTGTCTGTAGGGTTTGCACGCTTGAGGAGGAAGCAAGCATATGAGTCTGACAGTTCTGCTTCCTTACTTCCTGTTGGTGAAGCTCTTCCCTCCTTAGTATTATGGGCACCTGTTACGCCATCACATGTCAGGGCCAGCCTGACAGGGTTGAGCCGGGCTGAGGCAGGGAGGTGGGAATTGAGAAAAGAAAGAAAGACAGGAAAGCGGGGTCGGGAGGACCCCAGTTCTCTCGATGAACTGAAGCGAGTTTATTAGCTATACAATCCTATTTATACACATAACACTCTGAATAGGAGGTCTGTCAAGAGTAATGTATTCTTTGTTCCTCTTAATCTCTAAGGGAGAGACACAGCAGAAGGACAAGTTCTCAGTACAGCATATCTCAGTAAATAGTTACAGACTTCTTGGTAAGCTATGAAAGGCTGTTCTCATTCTACAAATGTTGCTCTCATTCTACTGATAACCGACATCCAAATGAGTCTGGGAAAACTGTGTGGGTAAGGGTCCCACGCTTGCTAGCCCCTTCAGGTGCAAGGACCTTGCCAGCTTACATCTGGCCCCCAACAATCACAGTTAATGGTTTGTCATAATTGGCATTACAGACTCAGTTTTCTCACAGGATTAATAAAATAGACATGTTCTGGAGGAAGATATGGCATCTTAGCCAATACACCTTGCTTCTTTATTTGGATTGGCATTAAACAGTTTGTCTTGATTGTTCAAACACTGAGTTATGTCAGTGTTACCCCCCCCCGTCCAAGCCTATGAGTTAGAACATTGGCACCAGTATCAGAAGCTTGGTAGGAGCCTTAACTGGGAAAGTAATTTAATTCCTGAGACAGTAAGTTGTTTGCTTGACAGTTCTGGTATTCAGTCTATTTTCTCCATTTTCAAGATGTTGCAGCACTTTATGTGGTCTTGCATTTAAAATTTGAACAATTAATGTTTATTATTCTAGTTCATGATAGTTCAGAAAGTTGAGACTTGATTGAAAATCTATTGCCATTTATGTGGT